CTTTAATCAAATTTAAACATAGAAAAATCATATGTCAACCACATCCTCTTATAATAAGCAACGTTCATCCACATGCCTACCGATCATGGTTTTACAATTTGATTTGCATGCCTTTAATTATCTTTTATAATAAGAACACGTAGTTATCTAAGAAGTGTAATCATTATATTATTACGCTACATTTTTTGTCAACGCATTATTGATATATAACTCAATCACGACAAATTAATATTCATTATAATAAGCTGGATCTTAAAACAATAGTGTACACTTCATATGTGCGTATTATTGATAAACTTAAGATACCAAAAAAACTCGATCATCACAATTAAAACAATATTTCATCAGTAGTCAACAGCAAGACTCAAAATGTTCTTAGCTAATATCAGTTAAATTGTCAAATCATTTATCTAAATCATCCAAAAAACCAAATTCCTAAACAAGACAAAAGGTGCATGTTCATAACCCTCCTTTTTGTAGAATTTTCTCTCAAGCTTTTTTATTTATCAAAGATCTATAACATTCTTTCTATATAGTAGATACATTTTAGGATCGATTTCTACAAAGAAAGAACACATTAAGAAGAAAAAAGTAAAGACTTGCCACCAACCATGAAAACAAAAGAAAGGGATGAACTACAAGCTATTGAAACTGATTATAACTCGAGAGAAACAAGATTAATGTTATAAGAGAAAACTTGCAAATTTTGATATTGTTAAACGATAATTATTAATATTATTTTATGTTAATCGATGAATTTTGGGTCAAACTCATACATCTCCTCATCAAAACCAAAATTCTTCTTAACGGGATTCAAACTAAAAAAACCTAATTTTTTGTTTGTTTTGTATAAATTAACATAGTGTCAAAATACTAAATAATATGATACAGAGTGAATATATTACAAATTTACAATCAAAACTTGACAATAATGTTGTTTTTGACTTTTTATTTTATTTTTTGTGGTACAAAAAATAAAGAGAGGAGCCACCAATAATGATAAAGTAGGAGGACACGTGGTTAGGTTTAATTTGGTGAGCACGAAAACAGATGTACGTCATACGTACATCGAAGAGGCAAAGTCAAATAGAAAGTCAATGTGCATGAACAAACTAACATGTGTAGTTAAGGACATTTAATGCCAAGTTTAAAAGAAAGAAATTAAAGTGTTTGATTAATTAAGAGGGAACACGAAAACGTTGGGACAATGCTCGAAGGAAAGGTAACGGGTACAGTACGGATCTGGGAGACTATTAATTTGGTAATAAGTAACTAATCATTGGTAAATCATTAACCATTTGTTTTTAGAGAAATTTAAAAAAATATCACTTTTCAAGTGCCACATTACAAAAGTGCCACATTACAAAAGTGCCATACTTTTAAAATTTTTACAAAAATGCCACTTTTTCAAAATTATTTTTTTTTATATTATTTATGTTTGGGTTAATTATGTTCTA